AAGCACGAAGGGTGCTGGGGGGGAGGGTGGGATGCGGGGGTGTGCGCTGCCGCCCTCCACCTTTGGGATTTGGGGTCAATCAGCGCCCGCCGGGGCCGGCGGTGCGGGCGAGGCCGGCGGCGGCTCCCGGGGAACCGGCGGTGCCCCGCGGAGGGGAGGGGAGCGGAGCCCGGCGGCCGACCCCTCCGCCACCCGAGGGGCTGAGCAAGCCCTGCGTGTGTTTGTTGACGGCTCGAAATGGCCCGGAGAGAGGCTGCAGCGGGCAGGGACCGCGGGGACCGGCTGCTGCAGCCGCTGCCTGCCGTGAGACCCGCGGGTGCGGAGCCCCCGCTGCCTCCGCGCAGGCTGGTGAGAGCCCGCTGCCTGCCTGCCCTGCTCGGCTGGACCAGCTTCTCAAGCCGATGCCGTGAGGTCAAGTTTTTTATTTGGCTGGTTTTGTTTTGTGGGTTTTTTGAGGGTTTTGGGGTTTTTTTTTTTTTGGTTTTGCGGGGTTTTTTGTTTTTGTTTTGTTTTGTTTTTTTTTTAAATCAAGCACAAACATTGCCGGGAATCTTGCAGTCTCAGAGCAGGGCTTAACTCAGAAATGATTGATCGGCTGTAAGAAAGATGAGTGGAAACTGTGGCATACTGTATCTCATAGGACAACGGAGACCTGATAAAACAGGAGCCGAATTTTTCTTTAAGTGTATTTACGGGCCTATTCTTAGCGTTAAGCTGCTGATTCAAAACTTTCCTTGCCCTCTCTGAAAGCTGGGGAAATTGAAGGTCTGGCACGGTATCTGAAAACAAACTTGTATTCTGGTGGGTGTAATCGCAGCTTGAGGAGAGTGGAAGTGATCTATTCATTTTTTTTAAAATTAATCTTGTTGATGATTTTTTTTGTTTAAGTTATGTAAGAAATTTTTCTTATGCAAATTAAAAATAACGTGTCTAATATGGAACATCTTTAAATTTGTTCTCAACCTAGGCTGTCTCCTCTGTTCTTAATGTCAACAATCTTTTATCTGAAATAAGTATTCCTGGGTACCTCTTAAGTACTTTAGAAAGCATTTATGAAATGTTTGGAAGTCAATAAAGTTAGTAACAGATTAACATCTCAATATGTTGAACACTACAGAGAGTAACGTCTCAGACTGTGTTTATAGGGTTCTCTTCTAATCTTTCCCCTCATACTCATCTGAAGTGTGAGCCTCCTCAGTTAATCACGATGCTTGAATACAATTACCTTTTGGTCATTTTGTCTGGTTCATGATCACCATTGTTTTGCATTCGGTCTTTTATAGCTGAAGAAATAGATATTATCTTGCTAAATGACAAGTTAATGCACTCAGGTAATGTATCTGAACTGCCATTTGGCATGCTGGGACTGTTTCCAAGAGGCAACGATGCTAATACTAATGTCTAAGAAAAATGCTGTCTGTCTTCAAAATTCCATTTCTGTCAAGGACTGGACAACAGGCTGACATAAGGGGAAAATACTGGCTACAGAACTAGATAAGTTTTCCAGAAGAGTGAATGCTCATGAGAGGCTTTTGATACTCTTCTGGACACAGGAGGAAATGAGTCAGGGTGTCCTGCATACATGATGTTGTTGGCAAGGGAGAGAGGAAAAAGTTTTCAACAAGTAACTCCATAATTCATATCCCACTATGAAATAAATGTCCTGACAGCCTACCCACAAATTTAAGAGCTTGCCCAAACTTTTCTTTGCATTCTGCAGAACATGTGTAATATTATAACAAAGGTCTTAAATTCAGTGTAATGTACGAGTGCCTTTCACAGAAGATAAACATCTTTGGAGTCCAGGTTGGCAGTGCAGACTGATCTGATGCTGCTGTATTCATGCTTGCATGTTTTCCAGCTGACATGGAGTTCTTTTCATTTTAGAAATGGAAAACCCTGAAGTGGCTGTGAGCAGCTGCAGTGCTCATGATGAAGAAAATCTTTGCAGCTACAAACGACACCTGTCAGTATCACAGGAGGGGCTTTTGGAAGACCAGCTTAGAAGGAAGTTAAAATTCTTCTTCATGAACCCATGTGAGAAATTCTGGGCCCGGGGCAGGAAACCTTGGAAACTTGGGATTCAGCTACTCAAAATAGCAATGGTTACTATTCAGGTGAGTAATTAGGGAAGCAGGGATTCTTCTTAGCCCACGGGAATTCAAACAAGCAGTGCAGGTGACAAATGCTGTTCTTGTGCTGCAGAGACAGGGAGAGGATAGACTGCAAAACTGTCTTAGTTACATATATGTAGCTTGAATCTCAAAGGCATAATTTCCTCTTAAAACTATTCACCGACAGCTTTCCTAAGAGCAGAGATTAAATGAACCATGTTTAAGGGCTATACTTTACTTTTTCTTCACTGGTTTTTGTGGGGTTGTTTTTTGTTTCCCTTCCCCCCCAAAGGAAGGCATCCTTACACATCTGCCCCCCGCAATACCTTCTTCCCTCTGAGTGTGTTTGTGTTGAAGGGAAGGAAGAGTCAATGTTGTTTAAATATCACAGAGATAAGAATTGAAATTGGTAGCTTTTTTATGATGTTTGCTTATGCCTTGCATATGGGATACAAACTCTTGCATTGAAAAAAAAACAGAAGTTTTGCTTCGCTCTGCCTCTCGCCCAGCCTTGCACCATAGATTTCGTAAAACACATTTGTCTTGTGCCTAAAATGCAACTGTTTGTCTCAAAGTTCTCTGCTTAAGGAGGAAGAAGGTCTTTCATAAAATCTTTCTAACACCTCAGATGATGATCCTTCAGAGTTGCCAGCACATGATTTACATTTATGGTAGTGTCACTGCTGTAACAATACAACTACAGAGAATGTTTTCCACGGTTTCATGAACAATGTGACAAACTGCAGGAATAATAACTCTTTTGCAATACATCTGGCAGTATGTTTTTGTCCCTTACCACTTTAATTTGAAATGTATCCTCATCCTCTGAATGTCTTATGTCCCATTTTGCAATTAAAAATAAAATGTGATGGTGGAAAAACCTAACTAAGAAAGAAACTAATGCTGATTTAGCCTTTTCAGAGAAAACCTGCCAGTAGGTAATTCAATCTTAGCCGTGTTGATTTGCTGGTGTATTCCTGTGTGCCAAGCACGCTGAGCTTGCCCACAGAGCATTTTGGTATCGCTGTAACTGAGTTGCCCTTATCAAAACCTACATAGCCAGTCTGGATCATTGGCCATAAAACTAATCTGTAGACTGCTGATTCAGACTTATCTCTGATGAGTTCCTTCACAATACTCCCGACACCACTAGATGTGAAACAATAGTCGCTCAAGAGAATTGCGAGCTCCTACAAACAATACATCACATTCTTCTAGAAACCTTTTCCAGCCTGGGTAGTAGCGAGCAGGGGTTTATGCTAACTTTTCATGAAGAATTGCAATATTTTTTTTTTTAACAGCTTCAGAGGTTATCCTGTTACAAGCACAGTTTTGATCAGTTATTCTCAAAGCACCTTTCACCCAAACCTGTGGGAGAGATGTTTGTTTTTCTAAGTTGTTCTCAATTTGACTTTTCTGCACTGGAGTAAGGACTTCAAAGTGGGGTCTGGTTAAGTCCTGTCCTGCCTTTTTGGCTGAGGTACGCCAATATTCCCCAAGACAAGTCGTGTTCATGTTGGGCTGAACTAACAAAGCACGCGTAACAGCATACGGATCACTTGAATTTGAGATGGTATCCTTTTCTTTGTAAAAATATGAGTCCTTGGCCAAGATCCTGGTAAACGTGTTAAAGGGACATTCTTGAATCCCATTGTTTCCTGAAGTTAAACTTTCTTTTGACCAGCTGTGAAATGGAGCAACCTGGAGGTGCCGTATCTACCAGGACAGGATTTGCATGTTAATCCAGAAGCCAACTTTGTTTTTGAACAGGAAATATAAATGTCTTTTTCAGCTGGTGGTTTTTGGATTGAGCAATCAAATGGTGGTTGCCTTCAAAGAGGAGAACACTGTTGCATTCAAACACCTCTTCTTGAAAGGGTACATGGACAGAATGGATGACACCTATGCTGTGTACACACAGACAGATGTCTATGACCAGATATTCTTTGCAATTAACCAGGTAAGGATTGTCGCTGCGATGTATACAATACACATGCTCTTTACCTGGGTACCTTTTCTTCTTCTGCCTTCCCCAATGGTGTCTGAAATTGAACTTCTGTGTCAGTTGCTTAAGACTAGAATATTGTCTTGTTCAGGTTTTCTGTCATTGCCAGAGCATTGTACTTGTGGCAACATCCTTAAAGCTAATCAGTATACTAATTCTGCACTAAAATGCAGGCCTTGGATATGAGCCAGAGTGCTCTGCAAATAAGAAATTAGGCTTTCTAGTAAGGATTGTAAAAAGAAAAAAAAATAATAAGCAAAAAGATATTTAGATCCAAATCCTGCACTTATTGTTTTTGTCAAATACCTTAAAGTATTTGAGGACTCAGCTGTTGTGTGGTATAGGTTTCCAAGTTCTTTAGTTGACCACTTAAATAAAAAAAAAGAGGTGGGTTATGGTGGAGATCCAAACATTTACGGTTTGTGGTGTTTTTTCTCAGAGACTAACAGTTTTGGTGCTATCTAAGTTTGTTTGTCTGTTTGTTCTAAACTTTAGTACTTACAACTGCCCAACATTTCTGTTGGAAACCATGCTTATGAGAAGAGGGGAGCAGAAGAGACAGCTCTGGCCGTGTGTCAGCAGTTCTATAAGCGAGGAACCATCTCTCCTGGAAATGACACCTTTGATATAGACCCAGAGATTGTCACTGGTAACGAACCTTATCTATTGTATCAGTTCTTTGGGAGGAGGGACCCTAAATTTATGATGAATTATTATTAACATCCAATATTGTATAGTCCTATCAAATGATCTATACTGGGCCTACCCCCAGCCAAAACTGGCAAGAAAACTATTGTGTAACTAGCCTCTAGCCCTTGCCTCCAAGATAACAGTCCTTTGTGTCTACTGCCACAAAACAAGTGATAAGCTGTTAGCACTGATGACTGCCTAACACAAGTATTTCAGGCTAATTTCAGGAGCCTTCCCTATGAATTCATGGTGAATAACTTGGCTGGTTCAGGGAGGCCAACGTATTTATCAGCTAACTTCCCCAATGACTCCTGACTTAGGCGTGCTATCTTGCCTGGTGTAGCCAACAGCTCTTTCCAGCCTCAGGAGTGGGAAAGGCAGATTACCCTTAAAGGGCGTGATAACCCATGAGATGTTGTTGTGAGTGCTTATCCATTGCAGACTGCTTGTACATCGAGCCAATGACGCTGTTAGACAACACAACAGTGGGAAAGCACAATTTGAATTTGACTCTGGATTTCCACAGGTGAGGAGGAGTCAGCATCTTCTGTATTGGGGTATTTTGGGCATGTTCCCTGTTAAAAACTAACACAAAGCTCTCTTGCAGGCTGGTGACGGTGCAGCTCATGTTCAATCTGAAGGCAATCAACCTCCAGACCGTTCGTCACCATGAGCTCCCTGACTGTTACGATTTCACTCTGACTGTATGTGGAAACCTTCCACGTGTCTTTCTGCTCAAAGCAAGAAATCGTTCTTGCTGGTTTACCATGCACCATTGACTGGTCCTCAGTGGTGACTGGATTGGTCTGTCATGTCTTAGTGTACCCTGTAAATAACAGCCAGTTGTAACTGTGGGAGGTTAAGCTTTGAGTGCTCATGATCTGTTCCTGAAGCACCTGCGTGGCTAATGGCTTTTTGTGCTCTAATCCATCTGAAGTATAACAAAAGCATGAACCTCTTCTCTTTAGAGAGCTGGTTCTAGGAAAGGTTGTTGTCAGATCATAGAGGAATAAGGCTGTAGTTTAAAAGAATTTCAGCTAGTAGCTAGTTGATCAAGCAATGTGTGGCAAGTACATGGTTCACTAGATTCGTCTTTCACTTTGACAGCATTTATTTGCATAAACTGAAATTACCTTAAGCTTAAACAAGTTTTTTAACTTCTCCACTAGGGTAATTATTCTGAATCATTATGCAAGCTTAGCAATGTTGTGCTACATATGTAATGGTTTAAGCATGGTTTTTTTTTTGTTTTGGTTTTTTTTTTTTTGTTTGTTTGTTAATGCAGATAGTATTTGATAATAAAGCACATAGTGGAAGAATTAAAATAAGTCTAGACAACGACATCGCAATCAGGGAATGTAAAGACTGGCATGTTTCTGGATCAAGTAAGTGATACAAATATGTTCAAATTTTCATGCTACACTTTTGCCACAGTAGCACAATGTTTTTCTTTTTTAAAATATGAGGCTCTATTGACATACATTCTGTAGTGGTGTGCTGGTTGTTCTTCAACCTCTGATCTGAAATCCTGGGAAACCAGCCACACTACTCCTTTCCTGAGCAGTTCTCAAACCTTGCAACATTGATACTGTCAAACCAAAATTTTTCCACACCTCACTTTGCATCTTTCTAGCTTTGGCTACTGAACTCGTGCTGCTCGTTGCTTGAGGGAGGGCTGTGAACTCTTCTTCTAGCACCAAGCAACAAAAGGACACATGATAGCGGTGGAAAGTTGAAACTGATTCACTCTTATTTCAGGACTTAGCACCAGGAAAGATAAGGAAGCACTGTTGCTAAGGCTTGCTGGAGTGGAATGGCTAGAAACACTTGCTGCCACTTAAATGTTGTTTGGCATGTATTTGGGTGTAACTGAGATGCACAGTAAGGTTAAATAATCTATTTTAAATAGTTACTCACAAGAAGACCCTTTGTTGGAAGCTATTGAGTCTGGTTAAAACATTCTCAGGTCTTTTTTTATTTTGATTTGTTTGTTTTGGGTTTTTTTTAATATCCAGATTGGAATTAATTTTGGGAATTTAATGAAATGCATTGCAGAATACAAAACACACCGCTTATGCAAATGCATATTCCACTAAACACACTTTATCAAGTAGCTTTGCTAGCTGCTGTGTTGTAAGTGCTCACCAGATGGCACGCAACCTCTAACAGATTGCTAGTGCAGCAGTACGAGAAGGTTTTGATACCAGGCTTCTGTAACAATCCACATCTGCAAAACCAACTGAAATGGTGACAGCACATGTTAGTAGCTTTGGTATAAGCAAGAAGTAGGTGGGCTTTTTCCGAGTAGCACAGTTTGTGAAGTCAACTAGAACTCCAGTATGCCATTTTGGAGAATTTCTGCATCTTCTTGCAAATTTAGCATAGATTTGTTTAAATTTTTTCTCTCAAACAATCACTCTTTTAGCATTAAAAATCTAATCCTTACACTGTCTCATCTAGTTTCAGCTGTATGACAAGTATAAAGAACAAAAAGAGGTCTAGTGGTAGGTTTGGTGCAAAATTTGATCTTAGTTGAGCAAGATGGTGAATTTTAGTAGCATGTCTAGCTCATGTCTAGCTCAATGTTGGTCTTGGCTAGCTGAGCAGCAGTGCAAATTGTCTGCACCATTCTAGGAGAGAAAACTTGATAGTCAAATACTGATCTGTAAGAGAAAATACAAACTGTAAAGTTTAGCTGAGCAGCAGTGCAAATTGTCTGCACCATTCTAGGAGAGAAAACTTGATAGTCAAATACTGATCTGTAAGAGAAAACACAAACTGTAAAGTTCCTGTTTTTTTTTTTTTTTTTTTTTTTGACAAGTTCTGTCACTCCAAAGGCCTTGTAAAATGGACAACTCCCACCCCTAATTCTATGGGGCTGTAAGAAGCAGGCAGGCTTGGGTATATTTTTGATGTGGTAGTATCAACCTTCCTAAATTAACTGAAATGGTATCTGTAGTGCAGATGCACTTGTGTCTCTCGTGAAAATATGTCAGATAAACTTTTGTGGGAAAAATGCTAAGATTTTTCTTAATTCAGTTATATAAACATAGTTAACATCAAACTTGATTCTTACTTCAATACCCGAGATGGTCAATAAGATGAAATGCATCTGATTACAAATGTATATTTTTGTTCTTGCAGTACAGAAGAACACTCATTACATGATGATCTTTGATGCTTTTGTTATATTGACTTGTCTGGCCTCATTGATCCTTTGCACACGATCAGTGGTTAAAGGAATTCGGCTCCAAAGGGTAGGTATAACTCTTTCCTTGAAAAGTCTTCGTGTCCTGTGTCAGTCTGATTAACTTTTTTCTTTGCTTCTTTCCCCTAGGAATTTGTAAGCTTTTTCCTCTATTATTATAAGAAAGAAGTATCTTTCAGTGATCAAATGGAATTTGTCAATGGATGGTACATCCTGATTATGGTTAGTGATGTCTTAACTATTGTTGGATCAACTCTAAAGATGGAGATACAAGCCAAGGTAAGCTTTGCACACTGTCAGGTGAATGCAAAACTGATTGCTTCTTACCCAGCTGGGTTTAAATCTCTCCAAGGACTTTAGGCTTGATATATTTGATTCTGAGTGGCATGAAATTTTCAAACTCTATCTTCTCCTCTGGAATTGCAACTGAGATGTGTTGTTTCCATTTGTGAGACTTAAAAACTCCACATATTGCTAGATATTGTAATTTGAATTATCTTTGCGCCTTTCTGACTTCAAGGGATAATATTAACTTAATCTCTGAAAGTTTAAGACTGTTGACTTCCTCTATTCCCCATTTAGGACCACTTATATTTGCTTATTTGATGGAGTTTTTAAAATTTAGCATTTAGCTTTCTGTTCCCCATTTAACAAGTGTTTAACCAGCACAGAGGCTCTCTCCTTAGGCGTTGCTTTGCTGCTTTCCCAGCTCTGGTTTCCAGCATTTACATAAGTCACCCACAGTCAGGTTCTAGGCCTTCAATTTCTAAAAGAAACTTGATGTAGAAAAAAAAATCTTTTTAAAACATAGTATGTGCAGGCAGGATTAGGGAAGAAAAATTATTACAATATGCTGTCCTGAAATACTCTAATACTCAGATAATTTTGTTCTTCACTAAGTCTGTAGCAGACTTCAAAGTGTGACGTTGCAACACAACAGACTTTGGACAGTAGTGATGAAAGGATGGGTCTGAAATCCGTCTGGTGACAGCTTGACGATCATAAACACCCTTTACAAATTGTCCTATCTTACCTTAGGAACTATAAACTCAGGAGTAGAAAGAAGCTATAAGGAAGTTGGCTAAGATAAGAGACAACTCTGTCCCGCTTTGGGGGAAGCGAAGACCAGAACAGATTGGAGTAAGATCTTGCATTTGGGATTCCAATATTTTATATATAAAATTAGATCTATTTATATATATTCCTTTTCTAAGAGTGTTTTACTAAACCTCTTCCATACAGGTACATTTCACTGCATTTTCCAAGCCTTGTGGAGCATAAAGGCCAGGCTGGATGGGGCTTTGAGCAACCTGCTCTAGTGGGAGGTGTCCCTGCCCATGGCAGGGGGGTTGGAGCTAGGTGATCTTTAAGGCCCCTTCCAACTCTAACCATTCTATGATAATAGCAAGATCTTTTTTCCATGTCACTGTGTGAAAGTTAATAGCTGAATAATGAGTTCACATTAAAGTAGCCTAAATATTTTTTTTTTGTCTAGCTGTAAATGAATTATGCTAGTATAAAAGACTACCCAACTCTTAGAGGAATCAAACCAGAAAACAGTGAAAACTGCTTATTCAAGTAAGCTATCATGATCCATTTGAGGTTAGAGCTGTATTCAGGGAACAGGGTATACGCTAACTTGGATGAAAACAGGCCAGTATGTACGGGTGAAAAAGAAAAACAGTGAAGTGCCATAAAATATAAATGAAGTTCTGGTTAGAATTAATTAGAAGCTAATCAGTCTTCTCCTTGATAACTTTCTACACCTCACAGTTCCTGGCTACCTAATACGATCCTCCTTAGTATTTATCTGAGCTCTGCATGACGAGTCATGCTATTTTTGAAAAACTGCTTTGCTGGTGTACTGGCAGAATCTTTTTTGCCCTGTGGTTCTAAAATCACGTCTACAGAGTCCGTTGGGATGCAGTGGAGACGTTGCCAAGCTGCTCTGGGGAATCTGTCGATGCAGATTCCAGAAGCAGTTGCTGCAGGTCTGGAAGCAGCATAAAAATGTTTGCAGTGCCACTCTGCAGGTCATGGGCAGACGGGTACAGAGGGGGTGTCTCTCTCTGCACCTGGGCCCCCTTGGCCCTGCAAATGAAGCTTGTCTTGCCAGAATCTGTTTTACACACAGCCATATGTAAAGGCAGGTGAAATGAGTTACACTTGAAAGTGCCCTTGCTCTTTGGTAGGACTTCTGCTCTTTAATGCATGTTTCCCCAAACTACTTTTTAACAGGAGAGATTGCCAAGGAAAACAATGTTTCTTAGCAGATCTTTGTAGTAATGAGAGTTGCAATGTAGAACCTGTCAATTGTTATAATACTTGATTTTTTTTTTTCTTTCTTTTTTTTTTTTTCTTCTTTTTTTAGAGCCTGACAAGTTATGACGTCTGTAGCATACTCCTAGGAACATCCACTATGCTTGTGTGGCTTGGAGTCATTCGCTACCTAGGTTTCTTTCAGAAGTATAATGTAAGGAACTCCTGGGATCTTCGTGCTGTTGGTATTTATTCTGTTTGTTGCTATTAGGGGACTGGAAGAAATGCCTGGTCGAATTCTAACTGTTTGCATTGCTTTGTGCAGCTTCTCATCCTAACACTGCGAGCAGCATTACCCAACGTAATGAGGTTCTGCTGTTGTGCTGCTATGATCTACCTGGGCTATTGTTTCTGTGGATGGATTGTACTGGGACCATACCATGTGAAGGTAATATACTTAACATGAAAAAAGGCAGCTTGCATAACTGAATGGATTCCAAACAAATGAGAGATTACTACTGTTGTCTTCTAAGTTTCCATGTCAAGGCTTCCCTTAATATAAAAATAGTGCATCTTCAACATGATGCTGCTCTGTTTGAGGAGTCTGGCTTTCATGACTCAATCAGACTTTCCTCAAGTTATGAAAGCTCTGAGTCAGAAGCGGAAGCTGCCATGACTCCCCATCACATGCTGGGATTCTGAGAAATAATTTTCATCTTGCAGAACACCAGTATCAGACTAAAGCTTTCGATACTTTATCCTTATCCCTTTTAAAAGTGAAACTGGCTTATCTGAATTGAGTATGTATGTTTACCGGAGGTAACAAACTTTGCTCATTCCTCAAATGTTTTACTCTTTGCACCTTGTCCTACCATGGGCATATACAAAGAGATCCGAGGCAGCCAGTCATCAGCTGTGTATCTTCTTTGTGTTATGTACAGTCTTTGGATCCAAAAAAAGCATCGATGGATGTCCTTGTCTTCTTCCCTCCTCTCTAGTTTCGCTCTCTGAACGTGGTTTCTGAATGCCTTTTTTCACTGATCAATGGAGATGACATGTTTGCCACTTTTGCAAAAATGCAGCAGAAAAGTTACTTGGTTTGGTTATTCAGTAGGATCTACCTCTACTCCTTCATCAGTCTGTTCATCTATATGGTGCTGAGTCTCTTCATTGCACTCATTACTGATACGTATGAAACTGTCAAGGTAAGCATGGACTCTTCATTTGGAATAAGAGTGCAAGATCGGTGCTATCATGACTCTCATCTCCTTAGTATTTTGACTTGCAGTACATACTGATTTAAAGAATAAATACAATTGCTACTTTTGAGGGTGCGGAGTGATGATGAGAGGTTTTGAATCCCTCCTACTTCAGTTTTCTTACAAGCCTATCTGATTTCCTGCTGCGATGGAAGCTAAATATCTACTAAAAAGCAGTAATTTTATATTTGGTTCTGTGAATCTTCTAATTTCAGATGAACAATGTCTGAAAAGTGGTCTGGGGAGGATTTGGGTTATGGTATGCTTTAGCCTTGTTAGAGGTTTAACTAAATATCAATTTTTAGCACTACCAGCAAGACGGCTTTCCAGAGACAGAACTTCACAGATTTATATCACAGTGCAAAGACTCACCAAACTCTGGCAGGTACAGGTTAGAAGAGGAAAGTTCGGCATCTCTCTTCTGTTGCTGTAATGGTATGTACCTATTTTAAAATTATAAACTCACCCACCTCCACCCTGCAATAATCCCAAACTATTTCTAGTGCTGTAGAACAGAGCACTTTGGCGAAATGTCTGCAGTGAACAAACTCCTTAGGAGAGGTGAGGGAACTTTTAAATTAAGAATCATTTAGCACATGAAAAATAGCACAGAAAGTTAGATAATATATGCAGTAACTTGGTAACTGTGTATGCCTAATGTGCAAGCAGTAACATTTCCTGTAGTCACACAGGCAGGACTTACAGAACTCATTCAGTGTCTTCTTACCTACTTCCTAATGATACCTTCTACAATAAGGTGTCCTGACTTAAATGGTAGCAGGCCTGAAATTTAGGGAGAAAATCGGCTTGCCAAGGTTTTAAGACAGCATGCAGTTTAAGGTAGTATCACAGCACTTCAAAAAGCATTGCCTAACTTCCACTGGGGAGAGCTTAATGCTCCAGTTACTTTAAGTTTTGTTTCTTCAGGAATACTGATTGCAGGATACGTGGTTTATATTTAACCTGGCTGGCAGCACTGCTGGAGTCTTGCTTGCTGAAGGGTCCCTTGGTGCAGGAGCCTTAAAATATTTGCAGCTTGATTAAAAAGATCAAAGGCGTTTGCAGCTCCTTGGTATGGGGCTTTTCTGGTGTACTACATTGTTAAATGCCAGACAGAATATGGTTATGAAGGGGAGCAGATGGGGACATGTTTCTGAGCAGGGAGAGAGCAGAGCCCTCCGTGAGCCAGCCCAGGGCAGAGAGCCGCTGTGCTGACCCAGTGCCTTACTGGAGATGGAAACATGGGATGAAGCAGAGCAGGGCATCTTGCTCCTGGGTAAAGGGCACAGAAACGTTAATATTTCCTTTTCTGCACACACCTCTCAGTTTAACCAGGCAAGAAACCCAACACAAGGTGGGACAGGGTGGGAATGCAATACTTTTCCCACTGACTGTAAGACGGGGGATCAGGACTCCAGAAGACAATTTGAAAAGGAAAACTTGGTTACTCTCAAGCAACTTGTTCTTTGGGAGTACTGGGCAGCCAGCAGCACCCTGGACTTGAATGGAGCTGTAGGCATTTAATGCCTTGTTTCAGAGCATTTTTTTCTATATGGATTACCTACACTTCACTGATTTTAGCCTGGTGCCAAATGTCTTGATCGGCATCCATGCCTCATATCATGCATGTTAATGTTACAAACTGTTGGTTTTTTTTAATCTGGAAATCGTGTGTTTCTTTCTCTAGAAGGCAGAACGGGCTGACTTTGCAGTTGCCTGTAAATGCAACACATTGCTCCATTAGCGCTGTACTGTGGCCTTCTGGTTTTACTTTGAAACAAATCATCTGTAGGAATAATTAAATATCTCAAGCAGGATGTTGTATTATCAGTTCTGTGGCTTCCTCTTCTTAAATAGTCCTACAGGACACACAAGGCTTCTCTTAATTCTTTCACATGTTCAAAATGTTCTATGGTGGTTCATAGCAGTTTATCAGTGTATGTCAAATTAGTAATTAAATAGTTCAGATGCATTTCTAAGGCTCCTTGTACAATGGAAGCACGACTTTGATGCATGCACCTGACAACTTTTTCCCCCTCTCCTGTACAGGTTGTAGTGAACATATTTAATGGATTGCAGGAGTGTATCATGGAGGCTTTAAAGCAGCACACATTGCAAGAACGGGAGAGTGGAGCTGGTGGAAAACATCATACCTAAAGCCTGAACTTGTTTTTCTCAAAAAACATTGTAAGCCTGTGGCAGAAACTTCTGATAAACTTACAGTCTTTCTGATTAGGCACTCTCACTGCTAGTTCAGGGGTTTTGGTCTTTTATTAGCTGTGTTCTATTTGTTTCCTCAGTTAAATTGCGTAGAATGCAAAGGGCATTAAAAAGCTGTCTGTGTTCAGAGACTTGGCTAGATTATGCAAGTAGACTAGAAATGCAGTAACTTTCAACTATACGTAGAAATAGTGCTGGACAACTGCAACTTTGAGCACAAACCTAGCCCTCAGTACTGCAGCCGTTATCTAGCTGTGGCTGATCTGTCACTGAATGAATGAAAACTCGCTTTAGGGCCCTCGGCATTTTTTATTTATCTGCACTCATAGTAAAAATAAACTAAAACTTTGAAATTTGGTGTAATTTAGTTCTGGAGACATTACAGTGAATTGCTGCACAAGTCATTCAAATATGGCTGAGAGCATAAACTAAATATTTTTATTAACATAAGTACCACTTGATGTAAGTGGCAGTCTCTTCTCAGAGAGGCCAGGGATACACTAGGCCAGAATGGAAGTTTGAGCAGTGAGTTGAGTGGAGAAATGTAGATGTTCTCCTCTATCCAGTGTTGGGTAGGATCAGATACAGTCTTTAGCTTCACAGTGTGCTGACCTTATGTTTTTAAAGTCAGATAAAAGCACTTTCAAAATATCTATTTTTTTATTTGAAATCATCCTCTGGTACACAAGTCTGTAAAACTAAAGTCTAAATGAAGTTAAACACACTGAAGAAAATGTCTCTGAGAGTTCCATGCTTTAGAAACTGTATGTTTCCTACCAAGCTAAAAATCTGGTACTGTCAGTGGCTGTCTGAAACATTAGATCTTATAAAACTTCAGTTTTGACAACTTAGTTTATATACTTTGTTGATTGTGATACCACGTGATAGACGCCTTATTTTCTATAGTCTGTTGAATCTGGGAGCAGAACAGGTAACCAAAGGGAAGCATATTTTAGATAACTTGCATTTGTGAGCAATATTCCTGTAGCTGTATGTGACAATGTATAATGCTGTGCACAGAGGTGGAGGACACTAAACATGTTCTGTCTGAATGTTTACACATTGTAAATGAGCTACAATAAACACTTCCAGCTGCAGTAAATATTGAGTGTGTCACTATTCATCTTAAGAGTAAATATATTGCCAGGATAATACAGAAGCTTTTTTTAATAGCAACATTATAAAACTTTCTGGCAATTTCTGGCATGAAACAGTGTGTGGAGTGTGTGAACTTGCATTTCCTGTAGTCAAGGTGGTTCCTGTGGACCCTGGTGAGGACCTGTTCCCAGCTGATCCCGTTTAGCAGCATTTCAGAATTTGCCATAGAAACAAATAAGCAAGTATTAAACCTTACACTAATAATGCTCCTGTACATTACATGATTACATGATCTTCAAAAACACACAATATACAATGTGCACATCACATGTATAAAATAGTTTGTGCAGCTACACAAAACAGCTACAGAATACTTTGTTTGCCAATACATTTATAAGGCAAGTAGTAGTCTGGTTCCATTTAGAAACAGGGCACAGCATATGCTTCATCACTGTTAACTTATGAAATTGGCAACAAATTTCAACAAAATTTAACAGAGCTCTAAAATATCAAATTGTTACAAAGTTTTATAGAAGGAGGGAGTAATTATGTTAACAGAAGCCTACAGTATGAGCATAAGACATGGAAAGCTACAATGGGTGACCCCAAAGCAGGAAAAGACACTGTATATAGATTCTTTCAATTCCTAATAGGAGAAACCTTCCACTGAAGACTGGTTTCTGTTGCCTGAAGGGCAAACTTCACTGTGAAGCTTGTTTTGCAGTGAAATCCCCGTTAGAGTCTTTAAGTAATGCTTAAATGCTTGCGCTACAGCCAAAAAGTCAATCAGCTGAGATGCAGAAACTCTGTGGAGAACCATGCTCTGTTACTTTTGCTGGAGACTACACAGCTTTTAATTTAGCATTGCTAGCAGTTGTGTGGTTTGGGGAGGAAAGAGCTGATGAAAGGCAACTTGCCTTCAAATAGTAATGGCTGGGGTCACAGCATGAAGCTAGAGGGGAACGCTATCTAAAAGTAGAAGGAGGTGTAAAGCAAAAGCTAGGATGGGGTGGAAGAAAAGAAGGGACAACTGCTTATGAAATTACCAGAGCAGCAATTGCATGTCTCTGGCCATGGGTGCAGGCTGTTACATAGGGAAAAGAAGAACAGTACCCTGAAAGGTTACTGGCTTACACCAGCTGAAAATGTCCAGTTCTGACTGGAAAAATAAATGCTGCTTGTATTACATATCTGATATTTATATATATATCATTTTTCAAGGAAACCAGACACTCAAATGTGTATTGTTGTCCTTGGTAGTGCTGCTGGCAATCCAAGTACTTGCTGTCCAGACTTCTGACCTGCTGGATCTTTGGTGCTCGGGATCTTCATCTGCCTATTTGGCTCACCTGAGAAAAGCCAATCCATTCTGTGTTTTCTAGACAACTGGCTGCATTTGAGACAAAGTGTAGCTCTGTCATGAGATCTGTGGCTGTCGCTGTTGCGTGTGTGGTGGGGCTTTTAAATCTTATTTCATGTCAATACATGATGCGCTGGTTATGGCCTTGCAGAGCCAAGAAGTGTGACAATGATCTAATTCTAAAAAAAACCCCTCAAGTCTTCAACAGTATAAGTGATCTCAACGTTAGCAGTGCTAGTAATGCATGTAAAGCTGCATCCTGGAGCCACTGTTATCTTTATGTTGATATAATCAAGCAAGCACAGATAGAAATGTAAAATGCAGATGGGGAGAGCAAAGAAGCAGATAAAGCATCAGATAAACTCATTATGCTTAAAAAATGCCATCCTAAGGAAAACAGGGCTTTCAGTGCTGTCCAGTAAGGTGTGGAGGGGCAAGAGAATTGCTTTGTTCTGATTTTCACTGGGCTCTGGAAAGAGTTGCCTAAAATATAGTCAGTATTTCCTCATGAAATTAAGTTGCAGGGTGCTAAACTTCTCTAACAGCTGTTTTCATACCAAGGCTCATTTCAATGCCAATGTTTTGCATATGCCCAGGTGGTGAGAACTTCTTGTTTTCAGCAGAGCTGAGATCTCTTAACAGAATGAAGCTACACCAAGGGGAAGAGAGAGGTGGGGACCACGCTTGTATCTAAGTACTAGTTTCCATGTTGGATGGAAGCATATTCTCAAGGGAAGGTAAACAGTGTGCATGCAAAAGAGGGAGGAATCAAACCCAGATACATTAGGGTGGTGAGGCACTGGAACAGGTTGCCTGGAGAAGCTGTGGATGCCCCATCCCTGGAGGTGTTCAAGGCCAGGCTGGATGGGGCTTTGAGCAACCTGCTCTAGTGGGAGGTGTCCCTGCCCATGGCAGGGGGGCTGGAGCTTCATGGTCTTTAAGGTCCCTTCCAACTCTAATGGTTCTATGATTCTATGATAATACCTTCCCAATAAAAAAGATGTAAAGGCATAATTTCTCTCTGCCATATGGGGGGAAAAACAGACGCTGCTGCAAAAGACCAAACCTGTGATTGCATCTGTCGGGAGCATCTTCCCGTTGGAGGCTGTAGCTAATACCAGATGCTTCTGCAAAAGCCTTAGGAAATCTTTCATGCATGAGCTGACATAACACCCTCGCAGCTAATTTTGAGTAAGTGCACATAGATGTTTCTCTGGAGTTTTGTTTCCTCTTTTCCCTTAGACAGCGTGACTGTAACCAAAGGCAGCATCGCCCGAGAGCCTTACGCAAGAGTCCTGCCCTGCCCATCCCCGCCGTGCGGGCAGGTAGAGCTCACCGTTGCGGCGATGAAGCCTCTTACAAGCCCGCACTGCGTTTGTGAACGCCTCAGCGTGGGGTAAGCACATGGAACCGCGTCCTCTGAGGAGCCTTTTCGGCTCGAACCCCCGGGCCCCGTGGTACCCGCTCCCACCCGCGGTCTCCCCTGCGCGCCGCCCCCTCGCCCTCCGCAGCCACCACCCGCCCGCCTCGGCGGAGAGAGAGCACCGGCGCCTCTGCTCCGGGGCAGACCGGCGGAGCCGCCGCAGCTCCCTCTCCCGCCGCCGCGGGGCACGTGGCCGCCGGGACGCCCTCCTCCGCCCGGGCCCCCATAAAGGCGGCGGGGCCGGCGGGACGGGACGGGACGCGGGGCTGCGCGACCCGGGGCACTCGGGGCGCCGAGCCGGCTCCCTCCCGTCCACCGCCGCCGGGGGCTGCCGGAGCCCCGCGCCTCCCTTCCCGGGCAGCGGCCGAGCCCCCCTGGGTTCTCCCCATGGAGATCTCCCTCAAGTACCTGCCCGGCGGACGGGCCGCCGCCACCGGGTGAGCGG